TTATTATGTGCACGGAAGCGCACGTTAGCCTTCTAAATCACGCAGAGAACCAAGGGAAGATAACGGGGATGCGCATCACGCGTGCGTATCCTTCGGTATCTCACCTTCTCTTTGCTGATGATAGATTGTTCTTTTGTAAGGCGGAGCCCCGTGAATGTGAAGAAGTAATGAAAGTTGTCACGAAATATGGACAAGCCTCTGGTCAATGTTTTTACTTTGAAAAATCTTCCTTACTCTTTGGTAAGAGGATTGGACATGATGTTAGACAGGAAATTAAAGATACCCTTGGAATTCAGAATGAAGGAGGAATGGGAACATATCTAGGAATCCTAGAGGATATCAGTGGGTCCAAATGCAAGCTCTTTACTTTTCTAAAGGACAAGTTAAGGAACATAATTAATGGGTGGACAGGAAGGTGGCTATCAAAAGGTGGAAAGGAGGTTATGATCAAGTCGATCCTATTAGCACTGCCAACTTATGTAATGTCCTGTTTTCTTTTGCCCTTGAAGATATGTGATACCTTAGCTAATGTCATTGCACAGTTCTGGTGGAGCTCAAATCCCCCAAAAAGAGGTATCCACTGGTCCACATGGGACAAATTATGTTTATCTAAAGAGGAAGGTGAGATTGGTTTCAGGATGATCCATGAATTTAACATGGCATTGCTAGCAAAACAGTTATGGAGACTGAGCCAATATCCAGATTCTCTGGTTGTTGGTGTGATGAGGGGTCGGTATTATCGGTCATGCTCGCCGTTGCGTCAGGTTACTGCTAGTAACCCATCATACGTGTGGACAAGTATATCGGCGTCACGTGAATTACTGTTATTGGGTGTAAGACAAAAGATCCATTCAGGCTATGAGGTGAAAGTATGGGAGGATCCTTGGATTCTGACTATACCAGTGAGACCGGCGTTCCCATCTGTACCGGTTTGCATCCAAACATGAGAGTAAGTGACCTTATTAATCAAGAGACAAAGACTTGGGATGCGACAAGACTGGAACACTACATCAACGCTGTTGATATACCTCTCATAAAGAGTATGTCCATTAGTTCGACACATCGTAGAGACACATATTGCTGGAGTTATACAAGAAATGGACAATATACAGTCAAATCTGGATATTGGGTGGCACGGAATATTTTAAAACGGGAAGAGGTACCTGTAGTTAGTGAACCTAGTTTCACTAAACTACAAGCGCAAGCTTGGAAGATGCGGGCTCCCCAAAAGATGTGCCATCTTATGTGGCAGATAATAACAGGTCATGTGGCTGTTACAAGTACCTTAAATTATAAACACATAAGGTGTGACAATTACTGCCCACGTTGTGGAGAACCCGATGAATCAATCACACACGCCATTTTTCTGTGCCCTCCTGCAAAGCAAGTCTGGGCCTTATCGTCACTACCCACTAGCCCTACTTTGTTCCCACTTCAGAGCACATATGCGAACATGGATTATCTCTTTTGGAGGAAGAACGCCATAGTAGGACCGGCAGTAGACATGGATCCTTATCCTTGGCTAATATGGTATATTTGGAAGGCTCAGAATGAAAAATTGTTTAAAGGGATTGATAGAGACCCATTGGAGTTAGCACGATATGCAGAGAGTGAATGTCAAGCCTGGTTTCAAGCCAATGAACAGACTTCTTTGCCATCTCAAGTAAACACGGACGGTGACAACCAGGCCATAAGTCTGGGGAATATTTGTATGGTGGATGGTTCATGGACCTCTACAGCTCAGTTCAGTTGATGTGGATGGTTCTGGCAGGATAGTATGGGAAATAGTCAGTTGATGGGAATGTGTAACTTTGATAGAGTGGAGTCTGCTTTGCATTCTGAGCTGGAAGCACTGCGGTGGGCAATGGAGAACATCCTTCAACATTCGCCATGTCAAAGCTTTGGGACGGACTGTAAGGAAATGATATCAATGCTAAGGAACCCACAGGATTGGCCAAGCTTCTCAACGGAACTGGAAAAGCTCATGACTTTGCGGATTTGCTTTCCAGATTTTAAGATTTTCTACGTGCCTAGGACACATAATGGTTTTTCCGATTCCCTAGCTAAGACTGCTCGATCTTTCTATCGAGATTTGGTGTATGTTGGTTGTTCTATTTCGGTTTGGATTCCCAGACCACCTCAAGCTTGAGTAATAGATCAGCCATTCTTTGTTAAAGAAAATAAAACACCTATATCATTTTATTAGATAAATATTAACTGGCTTGATAAATTTTATGAAAATAGTTTTAGTTGACTATGCTTTGATCTCATGCATACCATAAATAATTGTCCCGATCAGGCTCGGTCTATGGGGCAGGCAAAATAACCAACTGCTTAGGGTCTATAATGATTTTGAGATTTTTAGCTTAAGAGAGTGGTCCAATTTTTTAAAAAAAAAAATTACCTTGAAGAAAAATGGCCCAAAAATTTATGTTGAATAAGGCCTTATTAAAGTTTGAGCCGGCCCTGGTCCCAATAAGAAGAATTGGAATGGACGATGTTGTTGGAAACAATTTATATTTGTTTGTTAGAATGCTTTATCTCATCTTTTATAAAGATATGTATAATTTTGATGAGGTATTCAAAACTTACTCATGGAAACATGGCTATTTCATTCAACCAAAATAAGATTAAACCCTAACAAATGTTTCCCATATTATACATTCATATAAATAAAACTATGAATAAAATATTAGTTACAAAGATTAGAGGGTGTTATTGGTTCATGTATTTTAATGGATTTGAGAATTCAAACCAAATCAAGTGTTATTGGTTCTATCATTTTAAAATCCAATTTCAAATTTGTTGTTATTGGTTCTATGATTTTAAAAAATATTTTAGAATCAGGTGTTATTCAATAATAAAGATTTGTTTGAGGATTTGATTTTTATTTTGATTTGTATGGATTTGTAATTACTTTTAAGAGTAAAATACAAAGGAGCAAATATTGAGATAATCCTTGTTATTTTGCTTGGATTTTCATTATCAGTTTTTTTCTTTCCATTCCTTATATTGATTTCTCTTTATAAACGTGGTTGATCTAAACTTGTTATTATGTTTCTTGTTCATGTTCAGAATATGCATTAGGCGCATGTATTGCATACAAACATACATTCAAAACTGGTGTTATTAGTTATCATATTATTGTGTAAAGAGACACTTAATGCTATCTTGTTGTTGCAGAAGTGAGTCGTTGTGTTGCTGTGCCTCAACGCCGTCGTAACTCTCGTTGTTGTACACGACGGAGGAGCTGTTATTGACGAAGAAGATCTGCTTGTACTGAGGCGTTCTCATTATTTTGAGACCTGTGAAATGTTGATGTTTAAGTTTCGAGCCTTCTTCACCAAAGACTTAGCTTTGTCCGACGGGACAGAGGAGTGTATTAGTTTGCCAGAATAACGTAACTTCTCATCGTACCGAGACTCGAATGTAAAACGGCTTTACTTTTTTTGGATACCTTTGCGTCATCACAAACAATGTGCTTCCGAAACGAAAGACTTGTTGTCGATATGCTTCTTTGTGGTGGAGGTAGATGATAAAGAAATGTGTCTTGCATACGAACATACCGAATATTAATTATATTCAAATAACAGAGCATCACAAATCAAAAAGAAACACCATCAAATGAAACTAGAAAATGGTATCTTGTCAAACTTTCTTTGTGATTGTTTTGATAAATTCTTAAGTTTTTTTGTCAATGTATACGTTATTAAAAATGAATTCAAAATTTCTTGGACATCAAAACACTTCAGAAGAAGGGAAAAGTATATGTTGTTGATTTACAATAATCCACTTATTTTGATTGATTTTAAAATCAACGGATTGGCCAATAATTTCTAAATCCAAATATTTTTCTAAATCCATTCAAATACTAAAATCAGTAACTCCCACTTCTAGTATCAGGTTCTAGCTCAGTTTTAATAATGAGTCTGAATTGGACACTTCTAATATTTTACACATGTCATACGTACAGTACAACTCATTACTCTTTACTATCTTCTTCATTTATCAACAGCGGAGAATCAAAGGGTCAAGTATCAAGCTTTTCGCCGAGCAGTGGCGGAGAAATATTTTTGACCAATGTCATAACATATACTCCCTCTGTTTCAATTTATTTGTCATTTTAGGTTTTTACACACAGATTAAGGAAACATTTAGTTTTACATATTTTCAATATAAAAATACAATTACCCATACATCTAACCATTTTTCAACCAATAGAAAAATAGAATATCATATAAACCTAATAAATTTTGTCTCGAAACTCTAAAACGACACTTATTTTGAAACGAATTTTTTTCTCTATAATGACATCTAATTCGAAACAGAGGGAATAAATTAAATATTAAATAAGATATATTTACATATTATTGTACAAAAATATTTTTTTATCTAAATTAATGCAAGCATATGAAAAAATTTACATAAATTAATGGAGTCAAATGCCAAATTTTGATCAAATATTATAAAAAAAAATTTCCACCAATTGTATTGGGGTCACCTGACCACACAGGCCACAGCTATCTGTTTGCCTCCGCCCTGATGCCAAGTCTTTTGTTCTCCGGATGGTTAGAGCAAGGTTTAGTTGTGGCTGTAGTTATGTTCAAGATATTTTTGTACCAGAACAGAGAAGATTCGTTGGAACATTTGGCCCTCGTTTTTATGAAAACAACTCTTTGGATGATTTCATACGTCCATGATGAAAACATCTAAGATTTAAGTTCTGTACTTTCGTTTTTTAACAACTTTTTTGACGGTCACATAGGTGAAAAACAGTCAAGGTACAGGCATCTTAATGGAAGTCAACAAGAGATTTTAACACATGAAAATCTTATTGTACTTGCTGATTTGATAGTTTATACGCAAGTCTTCGTCTAGTACTAAAATCAATATAATCGCCTACTGAACTTATTATAGTTCCGAACAATCCAGTGTTTGTTTTAACCAACAGGTTCTAAACTGTTTAAGAAAGATAATAAAACTCAGAGTGGTTTTATCAACGAATATCTCAAAACTGGGATAAAAATGCTATAACAAGTAACAAAATCTCAATACATTAAAACATTAAATATTGAAAACTCAAAGTGAAATTTCTCCATAAATAAAAAGGGTAACAAACCGAGTTCAGCTCTATCCAAAAACATACAACTAACATGAAAAGACAACCATTACATTCCAGTGAAAGCTTTCTTTGAGAAAGCAGAAGCACCAGCTGGTATCACCTTCAACACATTGAACCTCACAGTCTTGGACAATGGCCTGAATTTACCAATCATAAAAAGGAAAAAAAAGAAGATCAAATCAGTTGTACGAGAAACCACAATAAACTGGTACATTTATGTTGATCTAAAACGAAGCATAACCTGCATTGTCCGATGATGACATGGTCTCCTTCCTTGACACGGAAGCACGGAGAGACATGCGCTGGGATGTTAGAATGCCTCTTCTCATACCTGAATAAGAGAGAGGATAGTACTTTCTTAACATCTTAAAAAAAAAATAGTCATAACAATCTATAAACAAATTAAATTGTATGTAGGCATGTGTTACCTCTGATACTTCTTGACAAAGTGAAGGTAATTCCTTCGCACGATAATGGTCCTTTGCATCTTGGCACTGTGGCAAGTACCAGCTAAGATACGACCTCTAATCGAAACAGTTCCAGTGAAGGGACATTTCTTGTCAATGTAAGTTCCTGTTCCATTTGAAAACAAATGTAATCATCTTAGAGTCTTACTTAAGGATACAAGGAGATCAATGCCAAAATTTCAAAGAAAGTTTATTGATTTATACTATAGCTGAAGACTTTGAAGGACATGGATCTAACAGTGATACCAATTACACACAAGTCCAGAGTTATTGTTCACTAAAGCTTAGGAAATGGTTAAAACAGTTGTAAGAAAAGCATAATCCAAGGAAGGACATGATGGATGTAAACAAACCTTCAATGGCATCGCGAGGAGTCTTGAAGTTTAAGCCAATGCTTTTCCAGAATCTGTTTCCACCCTTTCCAGGTCGCTTCCCCTTGCCGGATTTCTTCGAGCTGATGGAACAAAAAAACAATGTATATAAGCATTTTATAAATCACAGTGAACAGAGTGAGATTAATTCGTGAGTTACCTGAGGAAGACCTTAGGTTGCTTTAGAAAAGCCTTCTCTGTCTGGAAATGTACAACACACGTAAAACAAAGAGCATCAGAATCGAGCGATTGAAAGAAGAGTATTCTAAAGTGAAAGACGATCGGGTAACCTGTTCCGCCATGGCTGCTGTTTTGCTCCCGGGAGGTAAAGAATGTAGGATGAGGAGGAGATGATAGAGCGGCAGCGACGGCTAATGCTTCGGGAAACAAAACCCTAATGTACATGTAGAGTCGTCGTTATATATATTATATTGGGCCCTTTTATTTGGGTCTTTTTACGCCCACGAATAAGAAACCCAAACTTAAGGTCTGGTTAGATACATCTTTAAGAGCGCTAGTCAGGCGCTGCGCTCCGACTAGACCTAGCGCCCAGACAATAAATCGTAGATTAATAGAAGATTAATCGATGTCTAGTTTTGTAATTTTATTATAGAAACTAGAGATTTTTCCAAGCTATGCCCGAGTTTTACAAATATTTTTATATTAAAATATAATTATATCTATTCAGTCTGTTTTATATTAAATATCATTTTATAGCTTTTTTATTTCAAAAATGTCATTCTATATTTACAATACAAATTTTCATGTATAATTTATTTTTTATCACACAATCAATATATTTTTATTTAAGTTATGTTTACATAAATAATTATACACTAAATAAAAATATTAATATAAGTTATCACTTTCTTAATCCACGTAAAATATGTTTAACTGACACTTTTAAAAAAATGGATAGAGTATATATTATGAACATGTTCTAAAATTATAAAATCATATATGGTCATGGTATATGCTAAAATTAAATTTAAAATTTCTAATATTCTAAATATAAAAAGCATATTTAGATATTGAACAAAACTGGAAATGGATGAATAGTTAGCTAGGTCCTTAATCATGGTCATGCGATTTTATCTTTCATGTTTGTGTTCGTATATTGTTTTGATATTTTTGTTATACTAATAGCTTTGATATTTCGAGCAGATTGACATTTCTTTTGGTAAGAAAAATAAAGTAATATATTTGAAACATCTTATTCTAAACAATATATATATTAGTTTATGGTGGTTTTGTTAGCTAGCTAGTTATTGTAATCTTCCTAACCAAATAACTATATCAATGAGAAGCTAAATTATATTATAAAATGTTATTGGTCTTCACTTAAAATGCATCCTCGGCACATCATTAAAATTTTATTTTCTAAAAAAAATCCCTTGAAACTTGAAAGTGTAAAATATATATGAACATTTGATCTAGGGTAATATTTTCCATTACTAATTTTTTTAGGGTAATAGTTTCTAAATTACAATAAAATATACTCTCTCTATTTTATAAAAAAATGTTACTTTAGGTTTATTTTTTTTAAAAGTGTCAATTACAATTCTAATATAACTTTATACATTGAATTTATCTTTTACCCTTTTAAATAACCACTAGATCTCGACCCGCACAACCGTGCGGGTATTTTAATACGAAAATATTTAAAATTATATAATACTCACTCCGTTTAGATAGATGATGTTTTAAAAGATTTATTATATTTCAAAATAGAAGATGTTTTGAGATTTTAAGGTATATTTTGAGGTTTTAAAGTTATCTTTAACTTTATTGGAAACTGTTTAACCGGTAATTTTTTTTTTTAATAATTGGTTGAGTAATTATAAAATTATATCTTTAAAAATACTTTTGTAAAAGAATGTAACTTTTTTAATCTTTGTGAAATGATCCAAAACATCATATATTAAAAAATGGATGGAGTAAAATTTATCAATAAATAAATATAATTTGATTGTAAATACTATCCAATTTTATAATAATATTTATGTGGCTTATAATATTATTAATTTAACATTTATAAATTGTATTTTCTGTAACAATTTATAAAAACATTATTATGTAACATTACTAATTTATGATTTTTTTTTCTAATTTTTAAATATATATAAAAAGTAAATTAAATTGAACCTACATAATACATAAACAAAATTTTGGGATATTTTTAAAAGTATATTACATAATTTTAATTTTTTGTTTATAAATTAAAAATGAATTAAAATTTTAGTTATATTCTATGATAATTATATTTTTAATCAAATAATTTTTGAAACTATATCTTGAAAAGATTCTATAAGATTTTTAAAAGATTTTGTTAGAATTGTCTTACAATTATTTATTTGTATTTCAAATAAAAATTAAAGATATGAAAAGATATTATAATGATGTTATGTAAAATTTTATAAAATTTCTAAGGATTGTCCAAACTTAAAAATCACACATGAAGTGAGTCATGACTTCTCTTTTAATATAATAGATTGAATTTGTACTTAAATCATTTTATTTACTTAAACATATATTAAATAAAAATATTTTAGTCTATTATTATACTTGTTTTAAAGTGACTCTTTTTAAGAAAGAAGTAAAATAAATAATTTAGTGTTTGTAGTATTTTGTAGTCATAGACGTTTAGTGTTATTCAAATAAAATGAAACATAATTAAAATAATATCTCTAAACATTACATATTGCAGTATAAAGATAGTAGATTCATACTGTTTTTCCTTATTAGGATAAGCCATAAACTGTTTTGATTAGCCAGCCAACGCATACTATTTTGTAAAAGGAAAAGGAAAGGCACCCAATTGAACATGCTAATGGTTAAACAACATTCACCAAGCTTTATCTTACACACCAAGCTTCTAAATTTTCAGTTCACCAGTTGAACAACATTCTCCAGACTTCATCATCATCCAAATCTCCCGCCTTGGTTCACCAATCCGGCTTGATGAGTCAATACCCCCTAATTTATGTGATAACCATATCTCAGCTAAAACCAATATCAAAAAGGCTAAGATAGCTTATACTGGTCTTGGTGATATGAATTGAACTTGCCTGTTGTTGGTTCCACTATGAGCCACCACATTAGCAGCCTATAGATAATCACTGAAGTTGAAGCACATGTTAGACATGAGAAAGAATGTGTACAACTCCAATGGGAAGAAGATGATCAAAGAGTGAGTGCTTGAATAAAACACCAGGGGCCCTGCAGTGGATGCCACTCGTTTTTGTCTCAGTGAGTTGGCGTGAACTGCACCAATTCCCTTTCCACCTAGAAAAAGTTTTGAACCCACATCAAACGTACAATAGTTAGGCCGTGTGTATACACTCATGAGATGCAAATACAACCTTACTTTGCAATAAGTTTACTCTGGCAATTAATGATTAGACTATCAAAGTGGCGTACTCTATGCATTCCAGCCTGAATCCCTACATTAAAACAATATAAAACGTTACTTCGTACTATATAACAACTTAGATTTAAGACATAGAATGGCAAGGTTGTTGAAGGATCATACAAAATCATATCAAGCTTCCAGAACAATACTCTTCCACCAGCACCCGTTTTAACTTAGAAACATGTGCCAAAAAGTAAGCTGGATAACATAAATATTAATAGTAATGGTGGTAACATAGAGGAAATGTATAAGGGAACGAAGATAAAAGACCAACCTCCAATAACTCAAAACCAATCAAAAGCATCCACACAAGCGGTTGATTTCTGATCAAATTTTCTTTTCTCCACCAACAAAGATGTTTGCCAAGAAAAACATGTCAATTACTGTGTCCTGAAAAACAGTCAAAACCTATAAGCCTTTAGATAGTTATTGGAGGTTGCCAACAAAAATGAGAAGCCGTTGATAAGAAAATCTATTTATTCTCTGTTACTCTATGCCTTGATTCTCTTGACTGCAACCTGCAAGAACACAAATGATTAACAAAAAACCGAACAGGCCAGCAGAATGTTTCACCTCACAAGATAAAAGAAGCACGTTCTAAATAACAATTTAAGTTAAAGAGAAGAAACGTTGAGATGAATATACTTGTGAATGATCGGAGAGCTGACCCCAATACACACTGCCAAAGCGACTTTCATCGAGTTTATTATCGTAGATTAAACTATCTGGGCTGAGTGAAACTCTTTCAATGAGAATATCTTTCGAGATGGCTTTGTCTCCACTTTCTTTTTCCTATGTAAGCGTGACATAAAACAATGTTATGCCGACGGATAACCTTTTTCAGACCAAAAAATCAAGAAACAACAAATTTAGCCACTTATGATCTTGATAACTATTCAAGGATCAGTGAAAGTTATAATAGTCTACCTGTGTATTTTCTAGAAATTTGCAACAAAAAAAAACTTTATATGAAATCCATTAGAGACGAAGGAAAGGCATGAAGATTGGAGCATAAATAAACTCCAAAGTTGATATAAAATCCTTGATCATTAATTAGGAAGAAATCCATAACAGATATAGCCGATGACACTTTTTTTACAGTAGCCAAAGGAAAGATCAGACAAATTCAAAAACGAAAGAGAGATTTTAAAAATCATCGGAGTTAATGAATTAAGAAGATACACAGATACGTACAAATCAAATCCTTTTCCACAACAGCTAGTACAAAGGATTTTCTGCCTGTAACAGTAATAAAATTAGAGGAAGTGGAGGAAAAGTTACGATTGTTACATGTTGATGATCGCTGAGTGATGTCGATCAAGACTTATACCATCTGTTGTCAGATTGAAATTCCATTAGAGAATTGTAGACATGTTTTTTGTTGAGTGATCAGGCACAGAGATATGGAGATAAGATCGCCGGAATTCATCGCTTGAGAGAGTGTATACAATTTTGTGCTCAACAAATCTAGAAAAGAGAGAGTTAAAGAAACTCAGACAGAGGAAGGCGAAAGGGAGCCATAAATGAGATTTAGGGAGGTTTGATTGCACAGAGATAGATTAGAGAGAGGAAAAGGAAGAGGGAGCGATGAAGATGAATAGCAACACGGGAAGGAGGAGAGGAAGGACGAAGAAATCTTCGTTGTCAAATTTTTTTAGGGTTCTTTCCTAAACTGGACCTAATAGGCCAGAGAAGAATAATCAAACAGAAAAAAATTGTTAAGCCCAAACGATAGAGGTGTCCTCTGACGTGGCGAAAATCTATTTTTTTATAGGCTGATTATTTTTGATGACGTGGACACCTTGAGAGGGCTTTATATGCACCTTTTAATAGTGTTAGATATCTGTATATATAGTAACACATGTGATATAAACCAACAAGTTTGCTCTCTCCCATTGGTTCATCTGGTGCATTTTCCTTATTTTCGCTTTATTTAGTATTCTTAGTTGATAAAGTCTCACATCGCTA